TACACCTCTTCTTCTCTTGATTCTTGAACATTGAGACAATGTTTAGTTCAAGTTTGGGGGAGGTTTTACCGTTTTGAATTGTCTATTTAAACACCTTTTTATTTTTAAGTTCGGTAAAAATCACATCGAATTCGCCCATATGGAGATCATAAATTTTTTTCTTGTGATTAGTAGGTGTGTAAGGTAGTCAAGAAAGTATTTGGAGTTCAAGGGAAGTGGAGTTTGAACTAAGGAACTTGGGAAAGTTTGGAAATTGAGGTATAACTTGAACACCCTAGGTTCCCCAGAGTAAGGAAACGAGTCCAACGTGTAGATTTGTGCCATAGTACTTGGATTTGAAAAGTATACCCCGATTAGTTCATTGTGATAGTCCTGCATAATAAAAAAAAATTTGTTTTGAGAATGATGTGTGGCAACAAAAAAAAAAGAGTTGAATAATGACGGTAAAGACAACTTGTCCTTCTAAGTTGGGTAACCCTCACCCGGTTATTTAGCCTAACGGCGGTTGAATCTATATATTCGTCCCAAAGTGGACTAATAAACGTCTGTGAGCGAGAAAAAGAATAAAGGTGCCACAGAAAAAAATCTCGAGCAAATGTGCATGCCTTAATCTGATTATCCGAATGAAAGGGGTAGAAAATCGAAGAAAAGACTTAAGCCCAAAGCATAGTTGGAGAGGTGGCCGAAAGGGAGATTTAGGTCCGTAAGTTTACTGCGGTATGTGTTTATGTAATGCCTTCGTTAACGGATGAGTACCGAAAGAGCTGATTTGAGCAGTCAGAACTAAGACTCACGTATGAGTATCGACACGCCTTACACCCTGAACCCTTCACTTGATGTACTGTTTGACTTGAAAATTATTTATCCAAGCTTTTTGCTTGAGGTCAAGCAATGGTTTAAGTTTGGGGGAGTTTGATCGATGGTTTTTACACGTTATTTTACAGTTTATTTCAGTTAATCATTTGTTTTGTCTTGTCGCATTTTAGTTGTTTTTATTACATTTTACGCGTCGATTTGGTATTTTTACTGTTTCTAGGTTCAGGTATACAATAAAGGAGAAACAGAGCAAAAATTGGGAAAAAATGGCAAGATTTCGGAAGAGTTTTGTTGTGAAATCTTTAGCAGTCTGCACGAAAACGATCATAACTGGAGTTCCGGGAATCCGTTTGAGGCGTTCTAAAAACCGCCGGAAAGCTAAGAGAGAGAGCTACGACTTTCGTGTTGGAGTCGAAGTCAGATTCGAAACAGGGGTGCAACACGGGTGCCCGTGTTGTGTGACACGACCCGTGTTGCAGGATTTGCTCAGAAAAGGCGATTTTTGGAGAAAAAACAGTGGCACAACACGGGTGCCCGTATTGTGTGACACGGCCCGTGTTGTGACACCTGGGACTTGCAAATTTCACGCGAAAAATCTTTCAGAAAGCCAACACGGGCGCCCGTGTTGCCTGACACGGCCCGTGTTGCAGGAAGCGCTTTTTTCCCTATTTTTCTTATATTTTTGACTCTTGTGATCCCCGAGGGTATTGTGGGTATTTCCCTAGTGATTAGTTTTAATTGAGACTATTTGATACGTGTTTTGAGAGAGGATAAGGATTGAACTTTTGAACGGAAAATAAATTGGACGATAAAGATTGAAGCGATCAAGGATTTGGGAACGGAAGATCCTCATGAGCGGAAGTGATTGAAGATCAAAGCAACCAATTCTCTTGTAATGTTGAATTTTATTGTTGAGTTTATTTTTATTATTATGAGTAGCTAAACCCCCCAATGCTAGGGGGTGTCCCTGAATTGACTCTGTAATAACCTTGTTTCCTTTGAATAATGGATTTCACTACTTTCTAATCATCGTTGTTATTGTATAATTTTCTTATGGCTTTTCTTATTTGACAAATAAGGATTTGTTTTACGGTTAACCTTAGGTTTGGAAAAACGATCGTTAACGCGTTTATACGATAATACTATAGTAGATATTGCCTAGGAATGGGGATACCCTATAGTAACCGTAATGTTTTAGATAAAATATGTTGCTTGGGATTGTTCCTATACCGCCAAGGAATTGGGGCATAGGAAGAATACCAAAGAGTTTTCTACTAAGGAATTAGAGTCAACTAATCTTTAAAACCGGTAACGATTGAATTGAGCAGTGATTTCTGAAAAATAAGGATTAAGGTTATTACAAGGTTTTTTCATACACCCTACTCTAGCATGCTTCTCATAACTGTCTAAAACCTTTATTTTACTGCTTTTTGCCTTTTGGCCTTTAAAATTGTAAGAAACAAACCAAACCCCTATGACTTTTTGTTCAATTGTATTATTTTAGAACTTGTGTTCATACGCAGTCCGCGAGATCGATATTCGGGGAATTTCCCCTTATTACTACATCGGTACAATTAGTACACTTGCTAATTTACCGGTCAAGTTTTTGGCACCCGTGTTGTGCCACTGTTTTTTCTCCAAAAATCGCCTTTTCTGAGCAAATCCTGCAACACGGGCCGTGTCACACAACACGGGCACCCATGTTGCACCCCTGTTTCGAATCTGACTTCGACTCCAACACTAAAGTCGTAGCTCTCTCTCTTAGCTTTCCGGCGGTTTTTAGAACGCCTCAAACGGATTCCCGGAACTCCAGTTATGATCGTTTTCGTGCAGACTGCTAAAGATTTCACAACAAAACTCTTCCGAAATCTTGCCATTTTTCCCAATTTTTGCTCTGTTTCTCCTTTATTGTATACCTGAACCTAGAAACAGTAAAAATACCAAATCGACGCGTAAAATGTAATAAAAACAACTAAAATGCGACAAGACAAAACAAATGATTAACTGAAATAAACTGTAAAATAACGTGTAAAAACCATCGATCACAGAGCATAACATGGAACGTCTATGACCTATTTGAAAGCACCTTGAATTATGGAAAGTGGTTTAACTTGGTTAAACCTAATGTTTGTTACTTTTGACCAGCCCAAGCCCAGTCTGCATCACTATTTAAGGAGGCGCAGAAGCAAGGTAAATTAAGCACTCATAACAAGAAAAACTTGAGTGTAAAATAAGGGTTTTGAGAGTTTGTGTGTGTGACTTTGTAAGTCATCCTTTGTATCTTTTGATACATCGTGGTAGACATATTTGTGTTAATTGTGTGAGCCATCCACTCATTGTTTAATGTGTGAATTGGACTAGGTTGTTATTTGTAAATTGTTATTTGTGTCACTCAAAGCTTTTAAGCTAGAGTGATGTGTCTCTTGATTAAAGTTGTTAAGCAAAATCAAGATTTGTTTGAAGTGTGTCTTCATTATTCATTTGTAACCTTGAATTGGTTAATATCACTGCGGTGATTGAGGGGGAGTGAGAGGGGTCTCTTGTCTAGTGGGTTCTAGGCAAAAATTGCATTGGATAGAGATTAAGTGAGGGGTTGTAAACGGGGGAGTTTAGCTCTAAATTAATTATGCAAATAGTGGATTTCCTTCCTGGCTTGGTAGCCCCCAGATGTAGGTGAGGTTGCACTGAATTGGGTTAATAATCATTGTGTTATTTATCGTTCAACATTTACAATTCTGCACAATTTAAATGGTTAGATAAATAGTTCTGGCAGTCTGCAGATGTTAAAGGGATTTAAAATGGTCATGTTCTGTCCTTGTTCTGTTTTAGAAGAGACCAATGTACTTGGGACATCTGAGATCTGCATACCAAAATTTCACTTAGGTTCATTTCGTAAGAGGTATGCAAATTGTACACATTTATGTAAATTCAAAGTGCATGCGTCTTGAGAAACGAGTGAGGAAAGATGTATGTATGTGTTCAAACCTTTTATACATTTTTAGCAGTTTTACTTTAAACGTCTTTTTTATGCATTAAAGTCTTTCCGGTTTCCTTTACTTTTCTTCCCAGTTTACATTACTCGCACTTTAATTTCAACCCTTTTTTCTTTCCCTACATTTTTTGTCTTTCGACGTCAACAGTCTTTTCTTCATTTTAATTTCAGTCTTTTGTTCTCTGAACATTTTCCTTATTTTCTAAGTAATCACAACCAACATTCCAAACATTTTCGACAATATTATGAGCTTCCGCAATTGATAGACACACTGACATGTCTGAGAGATTTTCGAGTTTGATCCCTTAAGTATTAATAAAAACTTGTATTTATTTACCAAATTTAATAGTAAACAAATTGGCACGCCCAGTGGGACTGGTTTGTGTGTTTCTCTTACGTATTCGTGTTAAAAATTTATAATTTGTTCTGTGTATTTTTTTCAACTTTTCATCCTTTATATGAGTGTGCATGAGATTAATGTGTGGTAAAATAACAAGGATAGAAGTGAGGAAACATGTCAGTAGATACATTAGAAGTGATAATATATAGGTAATACTCACTCTACGGACCGATTTTATAGAATTGAGTTAGGTCAAATCATATTTTTTAATATCATGTGTTTTTTTCATCGATAATTTTTGTGGAGTCATTCTTTTTTATTATATTTTGTATCAACAAAACTTTTATATGATTTTGTAATGTAGGTGAGATGGAACATGACGCTGAGTTTGTATCACCACTTTATGTGTGTGCAAGTACTTTTACGGATGGAATAAAAAACAAGGATGACATTCTTAGAGTTTTGTCTCTCATCATCTACATCATTGTTCTTATTCCCATGCTCAAATATGTTTTCGTTGTTTTATGGGCTAAAGATAATGGCAACGGTATGTCAAGTTTTATATCTAACTTTTTTTTAACATATTATTATAAAATAGTATAGTTCTTTAGAAATTATTAGTAATTTTTATTTCAAAATTTGATATGAAATAACAATAAAAGTTGAATGGATATGAATATATAGATGGAGCATTTGTCCTATACTCATTGATTTGTAGCCATATAAAAGTGAGTTTGGCACCCAATCAACAACCAGAGGAGATGGAACTTTCTAATTACAAACTTGAAATCCCATCTTACAAGCAGAAAAGAGCCAATAAAATAAAGAAAATGATTGAGCAAAGCCATTTTGCTAGAATTCTTCTCTTGTAGCTAGTGTTCCTTGACCGAGCTCGGAATAAAGAAGTCCAATTCCAGGAACTCTGTGGACATCTGCATTAATAGCCAATTCTTTCAAATACTCAGTAGAAACCTTGTTTTTAAGCTCAAACATGTATCTTTCTTTGTGTACATAATGCCAAGTTCCCATAATCATTGTCAAGAACAAAGCTAGCACAATTGGGAAATATCCTCCTCCTGTGAACTTGGTTAGTTGAGAAGTGAAATAGAGAATCTCAGTAAAACCAAATACACAAAAGAAAAGGATAACCATCCACAAACTCTTCGTCCATATAACAAGCATTATCAGTGAAACTAACGTTGTTGTAATCCTCATATCACCAATAAACTCTTCTTCCATATAACAAGCATTATCAGGGAACTCTCTTAGATATGCTGCTTGTCCAACATATGCTGCCAATATTGCAGGACATGTAACAAAAGAAAAACTAATCTGCATACATATATAATATTATTTTATTATAATGTATAATCTTGATAAAATACAAGTATATAATAAATGTAAAATTTTATTTGCTTACTTGAATTGCTCTAACATTGAAGTGACCCAAATCAGCAAACATGGCCTCAGATCCTATGATTATAGGTCAAATATATCTTAGTTAGAATTAAAACAAGATTAATCATTAATTAATAGAGTAGATGATATTGTTAATTAATTAATAAATAATCACCTATTAGACATAAGAAGACTCCGCCTAATGATATCCAACCTTCTTTTCCATTTCTTTTGAAATAATCAACCATGTATTTAGGGTTAAAAGCTTTTAATACTCCAACATCATATTTGAATAAATTATAGAGACCAATTCCAGCAATGAATAAAAACCATATTAAAATAATTGGAGCAAATAAAGCTCCCACTTTACCAGTACCAAACAGTTGCATAGAAAATAAAACCACCAAAATCGCTACTGTAATTCCCACAACAGCATCTGAAAAAATAATAAATAAATAAACAGTTAAAAATCACATATTATCATAGCAAATAATAATAATAAAAAAATAAAGCATTAATTAAATAAAGTGCTTACTTTGACCTAGTGAAGAACTGATTCCACTAACAGCTGAAAGTACTGAAATGGAAGGAGTGAGAATGCCATCTCCTATAACCATGGAAGTTCCCATGATTGCTAGAAGTAAGAGAAGAGTTCTAGCAAAATGACTTTGCTCAATCATTTTCTTTATTTTATTGGCTCTTTTCTGCTTGTAAGATGGGATTTCAAGTTTGTAATTAGAAAGTTCCATCTCCTCTGGTTGTTGATTGGGTGCCAAATTCACTTTTATATGGCTACAAATCAATGAGTATATATAGGACAAATGCTCCACCTATATATTCATATCCATTTAACTTTTATTATTATTTTATATCAAATTTTGAAATAAAAAATACTATGTTTGAAACTTAACACCTATAAAGACATGTTGGTGTGAGAACTTAGAGTAATAACTAAATCAATTGCAAGTCTTTTATTAATCATAAAGACGAGTGTTTTCTTTTTCAAATAGAAATATTCGACATCAATGTCAAAGATTTCATATAGTAAAAAATTAATATTACTCCATAACGTGTGACCCACTATTTTAGCTTTAATGGTAAAAAAAATGGAGAGGTTCTATCTTTACAGAATTTTTAGGGTCATATGAGAGGGACTATGTTTTTATTTAAGATTATGACATTTTCTTAACCAATTCAATTTTGATTTGGAGATCTCATGCATTCATTCCTTCAGTGAAACCACTTTTAAGACATTAAATGTTAAGAATAATACTATTCAATTTTATGAATTTTGGATAAGATTTACTTATATTGGCCGAACCTACTATTTTACTAAAAATAGTGGAATTTCTTTTTTAGAATCTTTTTAGGTCTATATTGAGGACTGTTTATCTATCTTACAAATGTATTATTAACTCTCTTTTTTGTCAATTATTTATTTTATTTATAATTATTTTACACTTTATTTTTAGAGAAAGTGATAGGGAGTAAATAATTGTTAGAATATTTTTAATATTTTCTTATAAATCAAAGTTATTTTTTAGTTTGCAAATACGAATCATTAAAAATAATAGTTAAATAATATGTCAATTGTGTATGAATGTTCACAAAATACACACACAAATATGCTCTAACTCCTGCTTTCAATCTCTCAAGAAACTTAAACAAGAATGTCAAATATATATATTTTGTGCTTTCAATCTCTAATATTCTTTAAGTTTCTTTAAGTTTCTCAAAAAAATTAATATTGAAATTAATATTGAAAATTAATTTTGTGTTTGGCATGAAATTTAAATTGATGCGAGTCAAATTGAGATGGTGGAACAAGAATGTATTCGGGTGAGTTGACTTGAACATTGAAAGGGTGTGCAATATTTGGAAGATATAGAAAATGCTTTGGAGTGTATTGAAGGTATTAATTCAGAATCGAAACTCAAGAAGAGGAGGTTGGAAATTGAAAATATTTGGAAGAACCTAAAATGTAAAGAAAGTTTGATTCAACAGAAGTCCAGATCAAAGTGGCTTAGTGATGGTGATTCTAATTCCCATTTTTTCCATGCCATGCTGAAATCCAGAATTCGTAGGAATAATATTTTGAATACCAAATATGGCGAAGTGCGGCTAAAAGGTGCTGATAATATTAAGAATGTTGTCAAATACTTTTTTGAAGAGAACAACAAACTTGTGGAACCTTTTTCACAGGCTAAGATATGGGATGCCATTTCAGGGGATTCAGATTCTAAAAGTCCTAGCCCTGATGGCTTTAATCTGGAGTTCTTGAGAAGATGTTGGAAATCGATGGAGGTGAAGTTTCAAATGTCATCAACCATTTCCACCAATATGCTAGTCTCCCTAAGGCGTTGGCTTCATCTTTTATTACGCTCATTCCTAAGGTTAATAACCCTCAAAAGTTAAAGGAATTCGGGCCGATTGGGTTAGTTGGTTGCGTATACAAGATCATTGTCAAGATAATATCTTCAAGGTTGAGTGCAGTCATGGATAAGCTTATTTCTAAATCGCAATCTCCTTTCATACTGGGGAGACAATTGTTATATGACGTCTTACTTGTGAATGAAACTCTCAATTTTTCAAAAAAGAAGGAAGAGGAAGTGCTTGACATTCAAAATGGATTTTCAACAAGCATGTGATTGTGTCGACTGGCTGTTTCTTGAAGAGATCCTTACTGCTATGGGTAATACCCTAATTTTTACCCCTAAAATTTCCCACATCTCACTTGCATCTTTGCATCACAAACAAGATCATGTTTTGGTTCCTTTATCCCTCTCATCTTTGGCTTTATACCTTGCACGGATCACTGAGCATCTCTGTGTTTCTTGTTTGCTTTTATTTGTATGTTTATGTTTACTAACCTTTAATCAAAATACCAAAAATATGTTTATTTTTTTTCCTTTACTAACTTTTTCAGGAAGAGTTTGGAATCAAGAACATCAATCAACAGTCCCTTAACTCGAATAAATTTTATCTGAACAAAGTCAAAGTTGATCTGCAAGCAATTCAAATCATTTGATCAAGAGTTTGCTAAGATTTGGTTGACTATTACTCAAGAAATTCTACAATTCATGTGTTTACTTCCATGCCTTCTTTGACAAGTCAAAAGAATCGAGTCGAAACCAAGACAACACATCAAAAAGCCATTTTCACACTTTTTCACTGTGTTAATCGGTTAACACATTTGTACATCAAATGGTTAATCGACTAACCAGTGTATTTTTGGCAAAAATACAGCAAATTCAAATTCTGCATCATTTTGGCACCAATTTTCAAATATTTCATCATGAGAATATTCTAGATCACTTCATTTTAATTCTCCTACCTCGTCATAATTAAATCCCACCATACACCTTCACTAATCACCATTTGATCTTGATTTTGCCTCCAAATTCAAATTCCAAGCCTAATTTTGGTTTCAAACCACCAAAATTTCCAACCCTAAATTCTATAAATAGAGGCTTCATTTCATTCATTCTTCAAGCTTTGACAGCCAAAATCACCTTGCTAAAATTTCACTCAATTCCTTTCAACCACAAAATTCACCAAAGTTCTTTCTTCTTTTGAAAGTTAATAAGTTCTTCATTGGAACTTACTAATCTTTGAGCTAAAACCTTCATCCAATCACTTTTTCATCATCAATTTCAGTATATCAAGACTTTGGAGTGTGGCTCTTGAAGTTAATTTGAAGCAATTTCATATTTGAAGTGGTAAACCCTCATTACACCATTGTTGTTCTTGATCCATCTTCCACAATGTGATATATTGTTGATTCTTGTTGCTTGATCTTTGGATCTTGCAAATTGTATTGTATTGGTGTTATTTGTTACTGTTTTACTTGAATTTTTATGCTAATTCTCATCCATGATCATGAGGTGTTTGAAGAAATGGTTGGATCATGAATGCTGAATTTTTTCTAAATTTTTTTGTTGTCTTAGCAGTGTTAATCGATTAACACATTTGCACATGCAAATGGTTAATCGATTAACCAATGTCCAGAATGTGATTTTTGCTTGTTTTTGGGACTTTTTTGGTTCCATTACCTTTTCCTTCCCTTTCCTTTTGTTCTTTGCCTTGGATTACATCTTTGTGTAGTTCAATTTGGAATTTCTTCATCTATCTATCATTTTCTTTTGATCGATGAAAATCTTCAATATCAATGGAACTTATTTTAGTTTTTGATGAAGATGAGATCGTTTCCTATTTTCTTTTCATACGGTATTGCTTTCGGAGGATGATCTACATATCATCTCTCTAGCATACATTAGTACAAACATTTTTATTGACCGACCTCAGATAGTTGTGGCTTCTACATAAGTCCGATTATGATTGCTTAACATAGCGCTACATGTGTCTCGTATCGGAAAATGATCATTTGTGGCTCAGACTTATGTTTGAAAGTCCAAGTATGATTGATTATTTTTCCTGGGTCCATTACTTATGAAACTTGTTGTTAGAAGGATTTGATTTTATCAATCCTCTAATGAGTCTTCATTAACTTTGGCCTAAGTTCATTATTTAACCATTGTTAATGAATTGTTCTAACAACTAATCACTAACTCACTAACAATATTATTATGCTAATTTTGTTTATGTTTCCTTCTCGCTCCTTATCTCTCTTTTATTTTTATACTCCATTATTATCATCTCATATCATATTATTGTTTGTGCTTCCGCTCTCTTTTTCTTTTGTCCATTTGAACCAAAAATATTAATAATGGTTTAAACCCCTAAAAATTATTATCTTAATGGTGGACTATGGCTACTATCATTTTCATTAGACATGGAGTTTTGGACCTAGAACTAGGATCTTAACTTATGCTTGGAAGCCTGTGATGTCAAACCTTGAATTTTGGGTACTTGGAGTTTTTTTTTTTTGAAGACTTATTTTGATCAAGGCCTAATCTAAAGAAATAATGCTTATATTGTGGAGCTTACTTGTGTGGTTAGACCATTCTTATCCTTAGCTTTTATCTTTTTGCTCTAGGATAGTCCCTTCTTCTCCACCCCTTCTTTAATTTTCAAAATTTTCTCCCTTTTTCAAAATCTTTATTGTTTTAAAACTATGACCTTTTCACAATAAAACCTTGACTTTTGTCAAGTTCTTTTTAAAAAATTTCTTTTCTTTAATAAATGTCAATCAATATTAATCATACTTTGACTCTTTTCAAAAAGACATAAAAAAATTCAAACTCCTTCAAGCCTTTTGTGCCTTATGCACTTTCTTTTTCTTTTAAAACTTTTCCATAAGTTTAGACATGAGTCATCTCTTTAATTGGAACTATTTGTTTGAAAATAACGACTTGTCTTTTCACTTAAAGTCAACCATAAAAAACCTATCTTGTTATTTGTACCGCGAACTACGAGGTTTTGGTCCTATATTGCACTTTGTGGGTACGTAGGCATGAGGCGACAAGTCTCTCCAAACACAAAAATCTTAAAAAATATTTCTCTTCTCATCTTCTCAGTCTCATTTCAAACAAATATTTTCAAACCAAAAAGTGTAGATATTTCAAAGGGTTCCTATAGAGTACTATAGACGTTTTGGATCCTAACACCTTTCCTTAGTGTAACCAAATGTTCAGACAATTGCAACATGACGGTTGCATGCATGCTGAGTCATTAAGTGCATTTTAAATTGATTCACTTCAAATTGATCTTTAATCGAGAGATAGTGTTGTTTATCAAATTCAGTGTGATCCGTTGCTCCTACCACGTTTCCTTAGTGGAAAATATTTGA